TCAACAGCTTTTCGCCATAAAGTTTTCACTATCTTTGGCCTTAATATGTAATACCCTTAACAGATGTGCAGAGAATAAGGTGTGTGTTTTGAAAGCACTTTCCAGTGTTTGCCTCTAAAGTCATTGAATTACACAATTCTTTAAGCGAATAGTTGTGTAAAACATTGTAAAGTGTTTTAAAGAATTTATGAAATCAATACTTATTCCTCTTTTGTAAACAACAAATATGCAAAAGAAAAGGCGAGAGAGAGAGAGAGAGAGAGAGAGAGAGAGCGAGAGAGACATACGTGTGTATTTAAAATGTGATTATAATGGTTTCAAACAATGAAATAACACAATTCACTATTTATAGAGACAAATAAACAAATGAAGGGTTAGAGAATAATTGGCGAGTCACTGCAAAACCTTAAAAGTATTAAAATATGTATAATTTTATTTATTTTTGTTGTTTCGTGTAATTTAAACTTATACTTAATTATACTGAACATGCTAAATTTATATGAAAAGCCATTTGTATGCTTTGAATAAACAATATTTTTTAAGGCTTGAGAGAAAAAGTGAGAGTGAAATGAGATAATAATTTGGGTGCAAAATTCCCCTTTAAATTTCCAATGCATTCAATGACTCTCAAAACGATCCGTATTTAAACTCTTTCGCCTCATAATAATAATTGCGATCATTATTAGCATTATTACGGCGTTTGGTGTAAAACTTTAATTTTTCAAAAACACTTTATTATCCGCACAGAAGTGTTTGCCACCGAAAACATCCACTCCTTTATAGTGTAAACTAATTAGTTGTGAGTCTCTAAAGGAGTGTTTATTTAATTCTCGCAACTCGTGTGCCATTAATCTCATCATTAGTTAACAAATCAAACAAAATTATATCGATTGTAAATGTTTTGGCGGACGTTAATTGAAAATAATTACTATAAAAGCGTTATTATATGAGATATTATACCATATTCTGGTGTTTGGGAGTCAATCCCTAGCGTTTGGATTCCAAGGACAACATATTCACGTCGTTGTCAACACTAATGCCAACTATTTTTTTGTTATCATTTGTTTTTTTCACTGCTTTTGCTCGCAATATATCATCAGAAAACTATTGAAAACTATTACATCGGTTTCGACAGTACTTAACGTTTGAATGACAAAAAAAGTTACTTTTAATTATTTCTTCGATCTTTTGAAAAAGAGTACATCTTTTCGCTGAATGAGAGATAATAAACAATCAATTATTTTAAACGACAACTCAATAAAAATTATATCATTTATAACATTAGTTTAAAATATTGCCAATATTTTGTGACAACAAAAATTTACTTAAAATAAGTTTTTAAACCCGTTATAAATCTCTAACCCTTTTATTTGGGAGTTGTGTTTGTGTTAAAGTTTTTATGTTTTTTAAAATAATAATATTTATAAACCGAAACAAGTGTTGAGACAACAAAAAATCTTCTATCGGGAAGTGGTTTGAGTTCTTGCAATGGAAGAAGAAGCCAATTGTCTGAATAAGTTTAATTCATCTCTTTATCAAAATCGTATGTATTCTTATCGACACAAATATTTCATGTTTTGCTAATCCCTTTCAATGAGTCCTTATTTTTGAGATTTTTGTTTAAATTCTTGTAACTCTTAAAGAGTCTGTTTGTCCATCGGTTTGGGATGGAGTGTACTGTTGGCCTCCGACCCCATCCAACACAACTGTCCGCATGCCGTGCAGTGATATCTTCGCGGTGGCCATCGAGCACTTCCAGCAATACTCCAGCGATGACTATATGAAATACATGGCTTATCGCAAGTGTTCCGATGATTCTGTCTGGGATTGGAACAGTTGGACCAATTATACTGAATGTCTTACATTACTAGCACTTCAGGTCAGATATAGATTTCACAATTCTTTTACAATTTATACATTTTGTATGAAATATACGTTTCCTTCATATTCTGCGAAAAGGAAACCCGACTTTCGTTAAAATATACAAATAATATGATTATAAAAACAACACTTATTTGAAGCCTTGAATTTCAATATTAAATAATTAATTTGAATGAATGTATTATCTGATCGACAATATTATAATACAAAATAAGTATTAATTTGTTTCATACGAAAAGTATTAGTGTTTTTCTTTGGTTACTATTTATAGAATATAAAGGAAAATCAGTTTCTCAGAGATTTTGTGATTTAATTAACATTCAAATCACTTATCATTTTTAAAATGAAATTCAAGACAATTTATTTACTACTAATTTGACACTTTATTTTGAAAATAGTGGGCTTTATATTTATTCAATACTGTGTTAAATGGTTTTTTCCAACAATAAATCTGGAATTGTTTAGTGAATTACAAGCGATTTGTTTATTAATTTATAAAACAATAAAACATGTTTTATTTGTTATACAAGTATGCGTTAGCTATTGAACACTTGTATGCATTGGAAAAGGCATTGAGAATCTCATATGAATCAACCGGTTTGATTTTAGGCTTAAGCGTAGACTCTAATGCTAAAACCTATGCATTAAACTTATTGTTAAATATCTAATTATATTGTTAGCATTTTATATAAAAATTAGTTTAATGTCATATACAATTGTTTATTTGCATGAAAATACGTTTTTACATTTTAAAAATCTGATTTAATTGTGTTTAAATGTTTATCACAACGTTTTAAAATCAACGCTAGACCAAGACAAAACTTAACTTGAATGTTTGAATATAATGTAATGATTGAGTTTTAACATTAGTCTTTATGACTAAGCCTGATACCATTCCGGTTAGTTCATATTCATTTGCAAATGTGTTATATTTTTTGTTTGAAAAGAAAAGTATTATTTTTAATACAAGTCTTATGACAATGTTTTAATACCATGTTTGTAGATATAAAAAACTGAAAAGGATAGGAAAGTTTGAGTTTATTAAGGTTATCATAAATATCTACAATTATTCTGCATTAAATTTACTCAAATGCCATTTAATGATATCTATAGTAGGGTTTGTTTTCAGTTATTATTTTATTAATAAATCCCAAAATCAATTATTTTGATACTAAAATAAAGAGAAATAATAGCAAATCATTCCCCAATCAAATTAAATATAGAAAGTGATAGTTTTGATTGAGATTAAGATTTACATTGAATGTGTTAAACTTTAGATACAATTGAGAAACAGAATTGAATTAATGAAAAAAGTTTAATTGAAAATAAAAACTAATCAAATAATTGCTTAATTTGTGTGACTCGACACATAAGAAACGGTTGGTTTTGAGTTTATTTCTGTGCGGGAAATATGCGATGATATGACAAGAATTATCACTTTTACGGATACTTTTCTATGATCTGTTGATTAATTGTTTGTATTAATTATATGCATAAATACTTATATCTGATCAGTACTTTGTCTAATGATTTGTATTTACTAAATGAATGACTGAATCATTTGCCAGTGCTTTGTGGGAACGAAAGAAATTAATTTTATAAATAGTTATATCATTTATTAATCGCTGAAATGGTTTTGTAATACTTATATATTAGAGATATTAACAGAATTAGCGTTTTATATCGCAATTAAATCGAGAAATTTCTATTTATGTTTGCAATCGGATATTGCATAACAACTTGTTGAAAACAAATTTTATACCCACTTCTTATAATTAACAATATTATTGTTATTATTGTTAATGAATTGGAAAATATAGTAATTTTTATGACAAATATTTTTCACAACTTTATTGTAAACAACTCCACAAATCAAACGGATATAAAAGTCTAAATTCTGTTCATTTAGGAAAACAATTTTTTATTTCTTTTAATCATATCTTATATCACATTATATTTACTTTTTAATCTATAAATTGACACATTTTTGACAACATTTCGCACAATCGTTTCTTTTCTGCCGCAAAACTTTAAATAGTAATCAAAAGTTAAAATTTACACAAAAACCTATAACATAAGCACAAAGGGTAGCGATATTTGATATAATTTAATAAATGAATTTTTGATTACATTATAGGACGAGAATATATCGAAGTTATCGACCATAAAGCAAGTGCTCAACTATATTGTGCTGACCTGTTCTCTGTGCTCATTAGTGGCTCTTGTAATCGCTTTAATCATATTTATGTGTTTCAAGTAATATACAGTTTATTTTAATTTGATTACATTTCTCGCTAAAAAACCTTATCCTAAGTCCCAGACGTTAATTAATTGACAGATCCATACAATGCACTCGCATTCGCGTCCATAAGAATCTATGCATCGCTTTACTGATGAACTGTTGTCTACTAATTATCATGTCTTCACCGGTGGTCGTCGATAACGGATCGCTGCCTCAAATCGTAAGCATATTCTTGTGTATTATATATTGTGTTATTCTGTGAACTAATCTTGTTATTAAATTTTTGAGTTAAATTCTGAGTAAATCTAATGTTTTTGAAAAGGCGTTCAATTGTGGGAAACTTTCACAGGAAAGGATGTCATCATATTTTTGTTGTTTATTTAAATCTAATAATAGTTATGTCGTAAATCAAAACGGGTTAAACTTGACCTAACAAGTGATAACTGCTTTCAAATTAATTACAATATAATCATTCATTAATTATACGATAATAATAGTTGACGTTTGCGACAGTGACAGTAGTAAATAAATTACTAATAAATCACATCATATATTGAATTCAAATGTGATTATTGTTATTAATAGAGAGATATGTATAAAGATTGCATAACATATTGAATGGTTTTATATGTAATACAAATGGTTAGCCATTAAGAAAAACATTAGATCTGTGAATACATTACAACTGTTTCTCTCACTTATGCTATTTTGAGTCGGAATTAAATATTTATTTAAATAGTAGTGTGTTTTGTATCCAAAACAGTGAGCTTTTAAATGTCTGTCATTTATAATCTGTAGGACTTTATGAAAATATAAAACCAATTAATCTAATTTCAAGGATTGTTATTTGAATATACTGTAAGAATCTGTCAAAAGTTAATTTAAGGCACTTTAAAGCAAATTGTTTTGCATAATCGTTATTATATAAGCTTTAAAGTACACTATATGTGGCGTAGAAGTAAATTAAACTTTTTTTGTTTAAAAATAATCAATCGGGTAAAAAATCCATGAAAGAGATATAACTTATTGAAAAATACACAAGAAATAAAAACTCTGGAGAGAATGTTTATATAGTATTGTATTTATTTTGATAACTTTTATCAAACTTTACCCTTTAATAATTAATGTTTGACTAAAAATGATATTAATATAGATTTTTAACATAATATGATATTATTTTTCGGAATATTATAATTGAAAAGTATTGTATTTATTTTGATAACTTTTATCAAACTTTACCCTTTAATAATTAATGTTTGACTAAAAATGATATTAATATAGATTTTTAACATAATATGATATTATTTTTCGGAATATTATAATTGAAAAATATAATGATTAATTATGAGACTCAACGTCTATATATAGCTTAAAATTGATAAAAATGCATACAATTTATCGCAAATGTATATCAAACGCGTTATCGCATGAATTTTTTCTTCTTTTTATAACATACATATTTGGGTTGTTTTCAATTTTCTCACTTTTCAATTATGTGTTAACGATAACAATATAGAAATATAAAAATTTATTACATAATAGTGAAGGCACTGATATTTGCATCAGACAAACAATTCTCTGGCTTTTATTTACTGACATTTATAAGTAGTTATAACATATACAATGAAACAGAGATAATAAACTACCGACTCTTATATGACCGAAACGAAGAATTTATAAATTAAAACGACCAGAATTTTATTGATTGTATTTATTAAGCAACAAAAATCACATTTGTTTGTATAGAACTGGCTCTGCAAATGTCTTAAAGCGATGAATATATACTCATTGATGGCAACAATATTCTGGATGTTTATCGAGGGACTGCTTCTTCACACCCGTCTATATGTCTCTCCATTCAAAAGCAATACAAACCCGTCGTTCGTATTGTACTACTGTATCGGTTGGTTATTCCCAGCGATTAGTGTCGGCGTTTGGGCCATTGTACTCGAGTTTGGTCTCGACTTTGGGGGCACTCAGTGTTGGCAGGGATACGGAAAGAGCAAAACCATATTCATAGTGACGGGTCCGATGTTAGCCCTGTTGGCCATTAACGCCGGCTTTCTTATTAATATCATTCGCATTCTCTTTGTTAAACTCAAACACGACAACAATCGCGACAAATTGACCGCTAAAACAATTAAAGCCACCGCACTATTGATCCCATTATTGGGTGAGATTATCATTGCTTAAAAAATGCGGACATTATATAACATATGGTTTTTATCCCACATTCTGTATGACAGGAATCCAACACTTATTGTTTTGCATAAATCCGTCGACATTCAACTTATATTTGGAAAGTTTTTACATTATTATCAACGGATTAATACAATCAGTTCAAGGGATCACTGTTACCATACTGTATTGTTTCACTAATCATGAGGTTTGTGTCTCAAATGAATTCATTCAATAATAACATAGTATTGAATGTGATTGATTAGGTGCGGACGGCTCTGAACAGCGCGTGGTCTCGACGTCGGATAAGTCACAGCTTCGGTCTCATGCATCACAACAGCAGCAGAAAACGTCGACAGAGCAGCGCGTCCTCCACTTCGGCCACTTTGACCAACAATAAGATCTCGTGTCCCCTCTTCTACAACCCACCCGTCCAGTAGTGTTACCATTGGTTTCAACACCCCCTCACCCCTCACACCCCACCCTCCCATCGCTTACCATTGGACGCCTTCTGAATCAAATTCAATCTCACATTTTAAACACACGATTCATGCCATGAATTCTGTGATAATAATCATTCGCTTTTCAACTGAAACGCTTCTGTTAAGGGAAGGCATAATTTAATGAACAAATTATAACACAAAATGATTTTGTGGCCCACAATATAAAGTATACCACGTTTGAAAAGTGCGAGATCTTTATCACCAGAATTATTAGTTTTTTGAATTTTCAAAACTTTGTTAAATTATTTCTGTAATTATTTATATGAAACACAAACACAAACATTAATTCAAACAAAAAAACTTTACATCCATTTGTAGTGCGATAGGAATGAGCACTAAATGTAGACTTAATTGTTGAGATACTCTTTGGTTATAATTTTATAACTCATTTACTATTATTTTTTATTCAAACATAATATAAAACGCGAGTTGTTTTTTAATTCCTATTGTTATCAATATATGATTGTTTTAAATATTCGATACATTATTATAAGTTATACTAAAATAACGGAAAATTAAAACATTTTGTGTAAAATATTACTTGAAAACAATGTCTGGACAGAAAATCTCATACATAGTCCTAAATTGTGTGATAATTGTGTTGATTTGGGTGTTTTATGGTGTGATTTGGTATATTGTGACCTATCGCAAAAAGCCTCGGGCGCGCAACTACGAGGGCCTTCCCGTTGTCCATCACAACTGCAGTAGTTTTACGGCTCAATACATATACCTCATAAAACTCAATTACGGCCAATACTACAGAAAGTTTTTTTTCAAAACCACAATTAATGTGAAATTCTTCGATCGCAATCAACTCATTTCGTCGGTCGATATTCCGGATCAACTGCTGTTAGAGAGTCACAGAGACCCTATGAAAGAGAGTCGCAAGGAATACCTGTTGGCATTTCTGTTGCAGACAAAGACATCGCTGGAACCGGTGGCAGATCTTCAGCTCAACCATAACTGTAGCGCAGGAGAACTTATGGTACACTCTTTTACCATAATTGATTTGATGACCAGCCGTAAGCTATTCGCGCAAATCAATGGTGCCATCAGATGCTTACAGAAAGGCGCGGATCAGAGGGTACAGAGATATCCGTGCCCTGACGTTGGCATCAATGCCACTCCCATAATGCCCTCCCCTTTCCTCGACTTATTGGAGAGCACTTTATTCTTCGTGTTTGGCATTCATATCGTTTTAATTTACGCCAAATTTATAGTCAATTCAACAAATGGGGAATTTTTTATAACAAACCAGAACTACAAAGACTACACTCAAGCGCTTACGACCGCCTTTATGGCCGCTGTGGTCGCGTTGACGGTTGTGTTGACCACTGTATTGCTATACTGGGCATTAGTGAAAAGTCTATACGCCAAACAGAGGGGCATCGGCTATAGTTGGTTCATAAGGGTTTCATACATCGCGATCATTGTATTGATATCGTTATCGCTAAGCGTTGGAGTCTTTTTTGCAGAGATGGACAACATTCCTGAGGATGACTCAAAGAGCTTTTTGCGTTGTTTGTTAGCTGTAGTTCTCGGTATATTATTGTACGCTTGGGTTTACTTCACAACATTTTTGGTCATATGTTACTGGCGTTTGTGTAAACCGACCGACGTTTACGATCTGAGGACAATTCACGGCACGAGTTCTGAAAAAAGTCAAGAGCGTTCTTCCCGGCGGTTGGGCTCCTTCTCCACCACTAGAATAGAGAGTCAAACGGGAGATACAAAACAAAAGAGACAAAAATAATTTTATTTTCCTTTCCTTTAAATCTAATGTCAAGAATATTTTAATTGTAATTTTTAGCACAACTTTATTTTGGATTTTTATTTAGTGTAATCAAACATAATATAAAACGCGAGTTGTTTTCTAATTCCTATTGTTATCAATATATAACTGTTTTAAATATTCGATACATTATTAT